CGTGTTTCCCAGCGGCTGTTAGCATGTGTGCTAACATTTGTAGTTTCCTGGTTCGTGTTCCCCTCAGCGACAAATAAACGTTTTATTCCATTAGAATTAAACCGTGTATTCGTACTAATTTAATGATTATTTCAGAAATTGTTTGACTTTTTTGTTAAACGGCTATTTTCTAATTTAATGAGGTATTGAAATGTATATTTGGATAAACTCTTTACTGACATGTCAGTAAGTATGATTACTTTATGATAAAGTAATCATACTTACTGACACTTTACTTAAGTTGTTACTGTCGTTTTTGAACATTTACAATATATTCACATGTTAAAAGCTTAACTTTATAAATAGTATTACATTTCTACACATAAGAAAAGCTTCCTGCCATACAGTTTGATCAGTCCAAAATGCCAGAGACATAGTCCAAGACTTCCTGTCTCATCCTGTTCTGTCTCTGAGTCTTAAAGACAAAGTCCCCCTCCTTGAGGACCACTTCTTAAAGATGAACTCCAGCAGCACATGTGTCCAGGTGTGGTGTGTGTTATCAGATGAAGTTCTTCAGAATCACAGTCAAGTTGTTAATAGATAATTTTCTTTGATTTTTAAATTCTTATGCTTTTTATTTTTATTTTTTATGATTGTCAACTGTTGTACTGATAAATATCTCCCGGAGAGTAAACGTAAACTGTATCTTGGCTGCAAATATTCAATCAAGCTGTGAAGCAGACAGTCTGATTTCAGTCAGCCGCGCTCAGTCTGCCCGGAGCACACGGAGTGTGGCTGACTGAAGTCAGACTGTCTGCTTCGGACTGAACGAGAGGAACACACCGCTGTAGCCACGGAGCTCGAAAGTCCAACGTAAAACTAATCTAAAAAAGTTAAATCTGGTCCTCTGGACATTCAAAAAAAAAAACAACAACAACAAAACATGTAGAAAAGTTTTGTCTCTCATCCGAGAGATTTCCTCAGTCTGAGGAGCTGTATTCAGCTCAGTCTCTTAAATAGCACCTTCTCAGAGTGGATCAACCAGTTTGCTGCTGACAACCAAAACCAGCTGATCACATGATCAAGAAGGACCATCAGCCTAACAATGGATCATTAGCACACTGATGGCTGTTTACTACTCACAGAGGGCTGAGTGATACTAGCAATAACAGCATTGTAAGAGGGGGACAGTTGAACCCGGAGGCCTCCACCCCTGTTTAATGATGGACGGTTTCTTTTCACAAAGATGGCCTCCTTTACTCCTCTCTCAAACCATCGTTCCTCTCTGTCCAGGATGTGAACATCTTCATCCCTGAAAGAGTGACCGCTGGCCTGGAGATGAGTGTAGACCACAGAGTCCTGGCCTGATGATGTTGATCTTCTGTGCTGGGCCATCCTT